AACAAATCCATCTACTCTCGCGAAAAGTTAAAGCCACTTGAAAGTACGCACTTGCGTTAGAGGAATTTCTTACTTTAATGACTTTAAACTCTTTGTTCTATACGTTTTTTATAAGACTCTTTGATCAATACTCCCTCAATCTTTTGTGTGTGTCTATATTTATATATGTATATTAGTATATATGTGTGTGATATAATATATATATATATATATGACATTTCTAATTGTTAAATTATTCAAATAATTTAAAAATAAAATAATTTTTCTTGTTAACACCTGTTTAAAACATGGACTTGAAAGTTGTAAAGAGGGTAAATTTTTTCAAAAAAGTGAATCATTATGTCGTTTTGTACCAAGGCACTAATGTATAGAACAATCAATTTATTCTGGTAGATGACTAATATGTAGGATTAGATGGAGTAATTGCTAAGATAAAATAAATTTAATTTTTTTTTACCTTTATTCCTTTTAATTCTTATCTTTTATACTGCCTAATTTTATTTCACTTGTTAGTCACTTTGAGAATTTTTTATTAGAATTAAAAAAATTTAAAATTTATTAACTCTATTTAAAAATTTATTTTTTTTATTTTTCTCATATTAAATGCATTCTTAAAATGGTGTCCAACTTTTCTATATCAACATTGAATAGGAATAGGGATAAAGGAAAAAATTGCAATAAAAATTAAAAAGTATCAAGGGTATTTTGGCCCTTAAATTGTGTAAGAACGTAAGGTATATTAAATTTTTTAATATAATATTTCTCTTCAACAATAAAAAAAAGAGTGTAATGTTGCCTTTACTATTACAAAGGTTAAATTTACATACAATAATCTCAAAAATTATAAAAAAAGACTCAAAAAGTACATATAAGTTTTCAAAAAGAAAATTAATACCAATTAAGCCCTTTAAATTATACATAATACTGAGAGATAAATGTTATTTCTTACCCATATAAAAGATAAAAATACTGTTTTGACTAACTACTTTGATAATCTACCTAGAGATTATTATATCACTATTATTACCAACAATACTGGTAAATAACTAAAAATAATAATTTTTTATTAATAATATCTTATTAAAATATTGATAATTTAATATTATCATTATTTATAAACCTTTCTCCAAAATTTATAAATTTCTTTTTAAAAATTAATAACTCAACCAGTATATCTAAGATTATAGATGAATGTGTTTTTCATAATTAAAATAATGTGAAAAATTATAATCTTTATCCAAAATTTATAAGAATGCCTTCAAAAATTTACAGTTAGTATAAAAAATGCATTTACTTATAAATGACATATTTGTTAGTTAAGTTGTAATTTTTTAAGAATTTATAAATCTCAAAAGTTAGCTTGTAAATTATGTAGATGATTATTAAAGAATAAGGATGTTTAAATTACACACACACGCACACACACAGATATATATATATATATATATATATATATTAAAGTATTAGTATTTTTTTTTTTAACAATAAGTACTTACCTATGTTGTTACGAGAAATGGTGATCTAATATAATCACTTGCTAGTCGGTCAAAGTAACTAATTAAAATGATGTTTTTGTATAATAAGAAATGACATCATTTTGTTATAACTTATTTACAATTTTAATTGACTTAATTGATATTAATTTTTTATAAGGTATTTATTTATCATTTTTGAGCTTTTTTGTGTAATTTTCAAGGTCCATTTTGTATGTACAAGATTATTTTTTATAATTTTTTAAGTCAACTACTAACTAAATTTTATATTTATTAACAAAATGAGTAATATTATATTATTTTTAAATATTGAAGAGGTATATATTAAAATGGTTTGGGATATCATATATGCACAAACACTTGAGTGGCAAAAAAATCATTAATCCTAATAAATAATTAATGCAATGGACTTACAAAAAGGATGGCAAAAACCTTTCATATATATATATATATATATATATAATGAGTTGTTACTAGTCATATACTTTAAATGACCACTATTCAAATATCAGTTGTATCTAGTGATTCTCCTAAATTCTTATAACAATGTTAAGTTTTTTAAGTACCTAAATTTATTTGAGTCCTTGTAAATTGATGATTTCTTTTGGATCCACTTCATATTTTCTCTCAAACCATTTTTCTTGTAGCAATATGATTTAGCCATGTGACTTTTGTTGTTATAAAAAATACAAGTTAAATTGGGAGAGTTATTCATTATGGCAGGTATAAAGTAGTTATAATATTTTTGTTTTTGTTTGGGCTTGTAACCAAATCTAACTTTATCATAAACAATTTTCTATCATTTTAAAATTATATTTAAATTTTCTCTACCTTTAAGTTATTTTCATATTATCTCTTTGAATTTTAATTAATTTATAAATAATTAAAAACTTTTTTATAGTTAATTAATTGATAACTAATTCTAATAAGTTAGTTAAAATTAACAACTTTAATATAACAAATTAATAGGGGAGAATGGTAGATAAATCTTAAGAGGATCAATTAATTTAAATTAAATCTCAAATGCCAAATTTTAGTTTGTCAAATTTTAGGAATTTGGAAGTTTACATCTTAATTTTATAATTTTATTGTGATAAATTTGTAACTTATTTTTAAAATTTTAACATGGTTAAAAACACAAGTTACAAATTCATCCTAACAAAGTTACAAAATTGAGGGTTAAATTTCTAAATTTATGAAATTTGGCATTTGGAATCTAATTTAAATTAATTGAGGATCTCTCTTTCATTCTTCCAATTAATAATTGTTTTTGCCAACAAAACAAATTAATAAATACGTTTTATAGTTTGTGATTTCATATAATTTTTTTATGTTTTAAATTATTGTATAGGATTTGAGAATGATTTTGGTAAATAAATACGAGAATTTCTTAAAATCACTCGCATCATTACCCAGGCACCGCCGCACCGCTATGTGATGATCAGGTCAACGGCGGAGGCATACTGTATATTCCATTAGAGGGTCAGGATTTTATTGATTATGAATGTGCAAGATAAGAAGATATGGATGACCGCACAATAACGGTCACAAGTGTCACGTGAAGGCTGAGAAAAGCAACATAAGAAAACCATCACCCAGTCACGAGGATCTCACGCCACCACCGCTTCATCTGCTACCAAATAAAAGCCCCGCGTCATCATTTCACGCCTTTTTAACTGCATGGCATGATAAGTTATTTCATTCTAGAGGAAAGGGTAAAATTGTCAATTCATGATGACAGTAACAAGCACACTGTGACGCTGTCATTTGTATTTAATCTTTGAAGTTGCTAGATCTTAATTATTAAGAAATCTTTGTTGCATGAAACAATTAAATATTTAATACTTATTTCGCATTTAGAATTATAAGAGGAAAAAGCGCGGGCTCCACTCCAGCTCGGTCTCTTTCGAATAGCATCCTCCACTTGCAAATAGTATTTATGCGCAAGTTAATTTATTTAATTTACGCGGTTAAAACTTTTGTTTCATAAGTGAAAATTTATGAATAAAAAGAATCTTTATCATCAACATATCAACACATCAGTATAAAGTTTAGAAATTGAACTATTTATAAATTCAGGTGAAAAATATTTATAAATAAAAAATAATGTGACTTGACTTTGTAGTTTGTATAAGGTATGAATGAAATTATACACTTTATTTCTCATATTTATTGCAATCCCATCCCATTAAAAATTAATTTGTTAAATGAATTTAAGATAACCTTCGAAAGAATATATTATTTCTTACGTAAGAAATAAATAGTTATAAATAATAACGAAAAGTCACATAACTCATTTAATCTAAAAATATTAAATGGATTTGTAGATTAATGTAATAAACACAAAAATAAAAGGAAAATAATTTCATTAATAAACATATTTTTTGTGTTTTTCAAAGACAATTAATATAAATAATAATAACAAAGATAAAATAAATGTTTATAATTTTGAATTTTTTTACTGCCTTTTGTTAATAAATATATTTATCTATTAATTAAAAAGGGTTTTCTCTTTTTTTTCCTCCTAATAACTTATTTCTTCTTTTGAAATTCAAATAACTATGCAATTTTTCCCCGATAAAAGTTCAACCTTCTTCCATTACTTATGAAGACCTAGTTCTTCCCTATCCAAATTAGAGTGGGTAAATTAGATAAGCCTCAATTAGGCCCAACTCAATTTAGGGCAGGTTTATTTAGATTGGATTTAAAATATTTAAACATATGAAAAAGCTTATATAGTTAAATCTGACCCTAATATCTTGTGGTTTTCGACATATTTAGGCTGGCTTGAATATTTAAATTATTAAATATTATTTTATTATTTTATTTTTTAGCCAATTTCAATTTTTATTTTAAAAAATTAATATTTTTAATTTTTATCTCATTTTAATTTAATATTATTTTATTACTAATAAAAATTTGGATATTTAGCTAATTTCATTCGAGTTTGGACTTATCGAGATGGCTGAATAAGCTCGGAGTAAAAAAAACTTTCAAACTCCCATGCCCAATGGTAAAATTTTTTGGATTTATTCGAACTTGTTCATCAAATTTGGTTCAAATTACTGCATTTAATCCAAATGTTCAAATAATATTATTTAAAATTGTTTATAGATATTTGGCTATAAAAACCTAATTTTTTCACATGTATACCTAATTTTTTTTACATATATCTTTTTATTAGAAGTTATTATATTTAATGTATTATAAAATATTTGACACATTGTAAGACATTCCTCTCTTACTAGATTAATTCTTATTCTTAATTTTTTTTAGCAAAGATTAATTCTCATTATTTAAAGCCTGTTTTTGGACATACGGGATGATGATCGTTCTTCAATCAATGATTTTAACATAAAAATAACGACAAGATTAAAAAGAATAAAACGACGATGTAATTGAATAATTGCGGGCCCCAACCATCTTTTCAGATGACGTGGCAATAGTTTGGCGCAAAAATGGAGGTAACCGGAGGATATAGACTGGAGGGGAACTGAACCAAGACACATAGATACTGATAGAGAGAAAGAGAAAGAGAGAGGGGGGAGAGAGAGAAGCAAGATGCATAAGCATAAGCCATGTAATTTATAGCTTTCTGTTTCTCTATGCTGAGATCGAATTCTTTCTCATGATTGAATCTCACCGGAAAATAAATACTATCCCGTCGATTCCCAATCTCCGGTAACCGAAAATTCCGCTCATCGTCGCCGGAGCGAGCTCCTGCCTCGTCATCTGAGTCCAGGATGGGAAGCGTAAGTAATAGCGTAGAGACTGTAAATGCTGCAGCCACTGCCATCATCAGCGCGGAGTCCAGAGTTCAACCCCAAACCGTTCCGGTACGTCTTTCTCGTGTGTGTAGGATACGAGTACATAAGCGAATTTTATAGTACGTGTCTATTTTTTTTAGTGTTCTGCTTGGAAACTGGGAAAACAGCGTTCAAGGGAGAGACAATGAGATCTTGGGCTTCGTGTTTTATTTCTTTTCTTTGCTTCCCTTTTCCCGAGTGTTAAAGGTCTAGTCTTAATTGACCTAGTGATGGCGTTGAAATTTTGATGACTACTTTAAGCATTTCCGCACTGTTCCTTGTGGGTGGCAAAAAGTTGCGACAAAAAGGAAATCGAATTTTTGGATCTAGGGCATTTTTTCTAATCTAATTATGAATCTGATAATTTCATTTCGCTTTGAAGCTGATCGCCCAACATCTTGGTTCTTCAGTATGTATGAGGACGGCTACAATTAAGTTATTCATATGTATTTTGCACAATGCAATTGATCCGGTTTTTTTTTTTTTTACCAGAGATCTATTAATTTAGAATGCCACATACTTTTCCCTGCTTTCGTACCGTATCTTTATATGAACTAGAAAATTCTACTTCTGGCCCTTTTGTCTCGCAGCTGGGCTTGCTGCTTTTGTAAAACCATATTCTGTTGAGGGTAACAAATCCGCGGGAAGAATCATGAACAATTTTCTCTTGTGATGGTGATTTTCACTTAACTGAAAGGATTGAGTCCGTGGCCTCCACCTTTGCTCCACGCTCCTCACTTCAGACAACCTGCAAGCTCAGACGTTGTCATGTTTAGTTTGTTTTAGTGGTTTCCTTTTGTGGGTCTCTTATCTCTTGTACTGACGTTTGGAAAATTGTTATATATTGCAATACTATAATACTATAATTTCCGGAGTCCTGCTGATAATTTATTTTATCTCACGCTGTTCACCAGTGCTGAATGGCGGAGTTTGCGTATAGAGTGCACAATCAATATCAATGATTTATACAAGGGATTGTTATTTTGCGCTCAAGCAATGCTTTTCTTGGTGCTACAAGTTCCTTTTATTTATAATACTGACTGATACTGTTCCTTTTATGCATTTAGTTGATAATCTAACAACTGATAAGGCTTAGTAAAAGCAGAGGTTTCTTTTTCATTTACAAGGGATATGCTGTTGACTTTTGGCTTTTAATGGAACCCCTCTCCTTTAGGCATGATAGGATCCTTTGAAGTGTACAAGGCAACCGATAGACTTCTTAAATGCATGTGTATGCTGATTCGCCATCAAGAAACCCATTCTTTTCTTGAGAAAAGCTGATTATGTTTGTTGGGCTGAAGCTGTTCCTGAAATGCCAGGACAATTTTTCGTTTCATTCTCAAATTGTCGTTTCTCTTCCAGTTGCATGTCCAAATTGTCACTTTATTGTTTCCGATTTGTCATTACGCTACTGTAATGGTAACTGATAATATGTCTCTCTTACATCACCAAAAAGAACATCATCTCTCTTAGAATCAATATTTAAGGAAAAACTTTTAAACTGCTAATTGTTACCAAAATGGTGCAGTATTACTTCAGGTTACGCGGTATGTAAAGTATAATTGAGTTACTTGTATAGTAAAACAATATATTGAGACAAATTGTTGTTTAATTTAGAGAATTTTGTAATTTGTAATACCTTGGAGGACAAAACAGCTAGACTATCTATCTGATTGTTCATTCATGAGCATTGATTGTCACCATGTAAGGATTTTTTAACTAATAATTGAGTCTGTAAAGTTGAAAATAAATATATTTTAGTGTTCAAAATCAACATTTGGGACTTTGTGCGGTGGGAAAGTGCAGTTTAGCTTTGTTCTTTTTTGTTAAGAAATAATTATATTTCTGGTGACAGATGAAGGTCACGTTTTGTCTCCATAGCAGCTTGTGATTTCTAAGTTTTCTTGAATGAATAGCAGAAAAAACGTTGGGGTGGCTGCTGGAGCCTATATTGGTGTTTTGGATCTCAGAAAAGCAGCAAGCGAATTGGCCATGCTGTTCTTGTTCCTGAACCTGTTGCACCAGCAGGCCAAGATAATACAACTGCACCAAATACTTCAAATGCCATTGTAATGCCATTCATTGCACCTCCCTCTTCTCCTGCATCTTTCCTCCAATCTGATCCTCCATCTGCTACACAATCACCTGCTGGATTACTCTCACTCACCTCTCTTTCCATAAATGCTTACTCTCCTGGTGGACCTGCTTCCATGTTCACTGTTGGTCCTTATGCCTATGAAACCCAGTTAGTCTCACCACCAGTATTTTCTAACTTCACAACTGAACCATCTACTGCTCCTTTCACCCCCCCTTCTGAGTCTGTGCAGCTGACAACACCTTCATCCCCTGAGGTGCCATTTGCTCAATTGTTGGCATCTTCATTGGACCGGGCTCGTAGAAATAGTGGGACTAATCAGAAGTTTACATTATCCAATAATGAATTTCAGCCTTACCAGCAGTATCCAGGAAGCCCAGGTGCTCAGCTTATATCACCAGGTTCTGCCATTTCAACTTCTGGCACGTCTACTCCATTCCCTGATAGACGTCCTTTTCTTGAGTTTCGCAAAGGAGAAGCACCAAAGATATTGGGCTTTGAAAACTTCTCCACTCGTAAATGGAGTTCAAGGCTTGGATCTGGATCGTTGACCCCTGATGGCACTGGGCAAGGTTCAAAACTAGGTTCTGGATCTTTGACACCTGATGGTGTTGGACTAGCATCACGGCTGAGTTCTGGTTGTTTGACACCTGATGGTATGGGGCAGGATTCTAGATTGGGTTCTGGCTCTTTGACACCTGATGGCATGGTGCCTACTACTCGAGACTGCATATTTGTGGAAAATCAGATTTCGAAGGTAGCATCACTTGGCAATTCAGAGAATGGATTTCAAACGAATGCAGCATTAGTTGACCACAGAGTCTCATTTGAATTAACTGGGGAAGATGTTGCACGCTGTCTTGCCAATAAATCAGGGGTATTGATTCGAAACATGTCAAAGTCTTCACAGGGTATATTGGCTGAGAGCCCTTTTAATGCAGAAAAAATGCAAAAAGACACCATCCGGTGTGATTTATGTTCAGGGGAAACTTCTAATGATGTGGCTGACAAAGCTCCTGGAGAAGGGGGCCGCTTCTGTCAGAAGCACCATTCTGTTACTTCTTCCAAAGAATTTAATTTTGACAACACAAAATGCGATGTTTCTGATAATCCTTCCAATGGTTCTGAGTGGTGGGTTAATAGGAAGGTTGATGTTAAGGAAGGTAGATCAAGCAACAGTTGGGCTTTCTTTCCAATGCTACAGTCAGAAATCAGATGAGGATGATCTTTTTTGCAACATCATCTGACCTTGTATGGTTTAAAGGCTAAATGGGTTTTCATTACTGAATTATATTAGCTTACTAAATGCAAATCTGAAGATCACACTATTTCAAAAACAGTTCATCAGCCTTTGTGTTAATGGTGTTAGATGGATAATAGATGACAGAGGTGAAATAGCCATTGTGAGAAAAAAACCCTTTAGGAGTTAGTACCTTAGGTGAATGCAAGGGGAGCATAGTTAGTAGGAACCACTACAGTTGGTTCTAAATTCTGATAGAGCATTAGAATTTGGCATTTGATCCTTTGAAGTATACATAAATAGCAAAGTACAGGTATTTTCTTCTGTGGATTATTGTATCATTTCATGTGCAATAATGAGGATATTTTTTCTCTTTTCCCGTTGAATTATTGTTAAGAAACTACATATTATATTTGATAGAGTTTCTAGTGGTATACCCTGCAATACTTTGCATTGGTGGGGTTTTCCATTAACAGATACCGATATTTTAGAAGTGGGTTCCCCAGTTCAGCTTTCCCTCCTCTGTTCTCCCAATATTTTGTACCCTCTTAAGGCAGCAATAGGAGCAACCTTGAGCAGGTAGCACATTCTGTTATTCATCTGCCACAATCTGATGTATGGTCCAGATGTATGGATATGCGACTTTAATGCTGCAACCAAGTTGCTCTTTCTCATCATTTGCTGGTTGGTGCGGATTGATTATGGCTTGTAAAGCAACAGGTAACGAAGGAGATAAAAATAAGAATAAATTATTGGTAGGTGGATTTGTTGGATGAAATTGCATATTTTTACAAAGTCTCATATTCTGAGTTCTGCAAGAAAAAAAGAAAGCTACCTCTTTCAATCTTTATTATAGGACGTCTTCTTAAAAAATTCTATTACAGAGCATAGGATGTTAATCATATTTTTTTAATATTATTTTTATTTAAATTCATTAATTGAGAGAAAGTGATAAAAATTTGAAAATTTATTATTTAAATAAAGATAAAATTAGAAGTTTATAGATTGGAGGAGTGCATGGGAAGAATCGTTTCTCGTGTGGGGCCTGACAATCTGTTATAGGCTTTTTTCTTTTTGTTTTTTGTTTTTTGACAAGAAAGAAAAGGGTAAAAAAGAATTGATATGGTGGGGTGAGTAGGCTGGTCAAGGGGGGACCCGTGTGGCGTAAGGCCAGGGTAGACATGTGTTGGGTTGTTTCTTGTTGTCTTCTTGTCTCTTGAAGCGTGCCCAATAATAATTTCTCGGATGGACAGGTTTCGCTTTCATTCTCCGGAGACCTTTATGACGAATTTAAGATAAGGGTGCCTGCATCATTCTACCACCTGTAGGACTAACTCTTTTTGTTTGAGCTTATCTTCAATGACTGTAAGAGTAACTGAGATATAATCATCACTTGAAGGAAAAAGAAATTGTGTAATACATGCTTGAAAATTGGTCAATTTTTATCATACACTGGTGGAATTTACGATTTGATTTTTTTTTTTTATTTTTTAGGGTAAGAATCATCCTTCCAAATTAAATTACAAAGGCCATCCTCGCAAATATTAATATTAATAATAAAAAAAATAAAGAAAGTTAAATGACAAATTTATTTTGAAAAATTTTCATCAATACAACTGCTATCCTTAATTTTTAATTGACACAATATTATTTTATAAGTTTAAAAAAATGGTGTAATGTTGATCTAGTAATGTTTGATTAACATTGTCTATTATTATGAGAATTAAAGGATAATTTTTCCCTAAAAGTTTGTTTAAGAAGTAATTGATATTTTAAACTTTTGATTAACGTAATGTTTTTAGTTTATCAACTTTCAAATTAGATCAATGATCTAATAATATGTTATAACTCAAAATTAAAAGAAGATTTTGGGTTAAATTATATTAAATGTTTGCTTCGACATTACTATTAATTGCTACCTAATAGTCTACAATGAGTTAGGAAGCACTAGATCACAAAACAATCATAAAGGAATTTATTAAAATAAAATAGGTTTGGAAATTAATTGGGATCCTAAAAACCCTTTAAAATTGTTGTTTGAGCTCAAACTTAATATTTTAAAACATAATAAGAAGCATCGAAATGAAGTAAGGAACAAACCATAGGAAATTGAGGTAAAAAAAAAGTCAATTTTTCACATTTTGGTATAGATGCTACAAGATGTGGTACATGCACTACAATATGTGGTACAAAGTAGGAAAATCTTGTGACTTTATACCATGAGCTACTTGTGTGTGTGATTTGTGGGCAAAGTCATCCTGGAAGGTGTTGGGCATGCTACATTTGGGGTGGCATGGGCCATTTTGGAAGGATTGCCCCAATAATTGAGGGGGAGCTTCTGAGTAGCGACCAATAGTACCAGGATGAGTGTACATTGTTTCTTGAGAGGAGGCTTAGATAGCACCGAATCTGATCATAGGTATAATCTCTAAGAGTTAAGGCTCTATTTGACTCGGGAGCTCCTCATTTATTTGTGTTGCATGATTGTGTGAGGAAGTTAAATTTGCTTGTGCATGAGCTACCTTATGTTGTTAAAGTGTCTACACCCTTTGGATTACTGGATAAGACTAGTAAAGTGTGTAAAATGGTTGAGTTGTGTTTTGAGGGAAGAACTTATATGATAGATCTGATCTTGATTCCTATGCAAGGATTAGATGTTATCATTAGAAAGGACTGGTTGGTAAGGAATAATGCTACCTTGGATTCCGCCAGATAGATGGTGTTACTACCAATTCATGTGACACCTACTATGATTTCCACAATAATTGCCAATCAATCAAGGTTGTTGTCAGTGGTGCAAGCTGAAAGGTTAGTTTTTGAAGGCTATCAAGCCTATGCAGTTTTCTTTGCGATGGAAGGAAGTGGCAATAGTGATGTTGATGAGATTCAAGTTGTGAATGAGTTTTCATAAGTGTTTATGGATGAAGTATTGGGTTTGCCATTGGAACAACAAGTAAAATTCTCTATTGATTTGGCACCTAGTATCGAGCCTATTTCAAAAGCTCCGTATAGAATGGCTCCTTTAGAGTTGGTAGAGCTTAAGAAGCAGCTTGAGGAATTGTTAAAGAAGAGTTTCATACGCCCTAGTGTGTCACCATGGAGTTCGCCAGTCTTGTTTGTGAAGAAGAAGGATGGTAGCTTGTGGCTATGCATTGACTATAGGCAACTGAATAAGGTGACAGTAAAGAACAAGTACTCACTCCCAAGAATAGATGACTTGCTAGATCAGCTAGTAGGAGCTTTGGTGTTTTGTAAGATCGATTTATGATCTGGGTGTAACATCCTAAAACTTCAAATCTGGAAAAGTTGATTAATTAAGGGATAAATTAGTTAAAAATATGATTAATTTATTTAATTATGTTTTTGGGTTGCTAATTGAATTTTTGTGTCATATTTGGCTCTAAATTAAGTTAGGATGAAAGTTGGATCAAGTCGGGAGACATCGGGGGGAGCAAAATCTACTTGTTGCTTGTTGCGTCGTGAGCCACAGCTTGCGTGGCGTGCGTTGTGGCGCACAGCACAGCAGAGAACTTGAAATTTCAAAAATGATCAGAAAAAATCAGATTTTGTGGTGGGAAACCTAGAGCACAAAGGCAGCAACTTTGGGCACTGTTAGGGCATCATTTTAGGAGGATTTTGAAGACAAATTAAGATTTCAAACTCTTGAGTAAGTTTCCTACCCTTCTCCTCTACCTTTTCATCTCATTTTCCATGGGATTTGGAAGAGTGAGAATTTGGTCTGATTGAATTAAGCCATGAGTCAATGTTTTGAATGTTTCTATTAACTCTAAAGGTTTAATTTAGGTTTATTGATTTTAGATATGTGGTAATAGGAAGCTACTTTCTTGTTTGGTGAATTTTAGATCAAGCCCTAACTTGATCATAAGGTGTTGAAGTGTGATAAGTTGAGATATTAAGTTTTATATTGTGATAGAGTTAGAAGGAGACTTAAAGGGATTGTAGGAACAAATTCTAATCTTAACAAGCCTCTTTGTTGAGAATATGAGTGAGAAGTGGGAGAATTAGGAGGTTATTATTAGCTAATAGTGCTTGTGTTAATTGAAAATTAACATATAGTACTTGTTGATGTAGATTGTAGAGTAGGAAGACTTACCTTGACACAAGAAGAGAATTAGTACCACAGGTAATTCTTTTAGTAACAAAAAGGTTGAGGTAACTAGATAATTTGTATTATTTATTACCTTGTATAAGTTATTCTCAAGTTGCTTTTCTATGAATTGTTGAGGATATATGTATAAATTCTTTAAAGGTTAACTATTTTAGAAAATGAGTGGAGTATTGCTTTGTGAAATTCTATATTTTTGAAATAAATGATGAGATTTTGTTATATTTGTTTGGAAAGTTATTTATGTATGGTCAAGTGGAGATATGTAGTGAAATGTAGCATATTAGAAGGTGGGAGGTCACCTTAGTAGAGATAGTGAAGATTAAGTCCATATGGCATTGCTGGCACCTCGGGATGCTAGGTGCGACATTTACTCTCCTTAGTGCTCGAAAATGGGTGCAGTGTTGGAGACTTACTCTCTTTAGTACTCAAAAAGGTGTGGAGTTGGAGACTATGCCCCTTAGCATTCGTAGGATGCGGTGTTGGAGTAACAACACCCCAATTACTTGTAATAGGGAGAACCAGTAGTCCAAAAGTGGTTTAGGACACCTTGGCTGGGTAGTCCTACTATGAATGGTGAGCTTGGGAGCCATACATGTGGTTTGGTTCTGTGAAATAACCTACTGGTTCGGTCAGGAGTATTGGAGGACTGGATGGTTAGGGATCATGCATGTAATTTGTGTTGATCTTATACAATATGATTATGTTACTTATTTTAATGCTTGTTCATAACTTGGCTTGTTAATCAATAATGTAGATTATCTTAGTTACTGATATTTTTATCTCACCCCGTGGATTATCATTTTATAGGTTCTACCAGTGAGACTGAGCCAAGGAGGGAATTGGGCAAGGGCTAGCATACTTGTTACATTCTCATTGTAAAGCCTGCTTTCGATTTGAGTCATGTACATAAACTTGTTATATGATATTATATGTTGCCAACTAAAAATGCATATTATTTTGATTGGTTGCACTTGTTTCATACTATGTTGTTTTGTATTTTAGCCCAATATTGTAGATGATGTGAATATGTGGGAATCCTTGTGGTGATGGGCTAAAATACTAATACAAGTGCAAGGAAGGTTTTATCTATATGGTGACAATATATTTGTAGTGTATTATGTGGCAATAGAGGCCAAATAGTACTTGTAGTGTTGATTGTGTGTTTTGGCCATATTGAGTGATCAAATTTTGTGTTTGGTATGTTTTTTTGTGTTTGATTGGTCACTCAAGTGTATTTTGGTCTATTGAACTTGGTTC